TAACCCCACCCACCCTACCCTATCATCTTCCCACCATCCACACCCTTCTGCCCCCTAACCCCACATCACCCCCGATCTGCCACGAATCGGATGTGACTCCTCCAATTCGCGGCGATGGTGTCCCAAGAGTGCACGTTTTTATATATATAGGAAGCTATATATATAGGAATCTATATATATATGAAACTATCTATATAGGAAACTACCTATATTTATGGACCCAAGGATTGGTTCAGAAATTAATCTCAAGCGATGTTAGTCGGATTCAAATTAAGGAACTCATCCCGCCGCTGTTTCGATAATAGCGCAGTGCGCTAACTGCTGCGCCACCGCTCCCGCAAAGCAATTGATTTACTGGCCGTTAAAAAAAATTCACTGCGGCAGTCATCAACTCTGCTGCTGCTGCTGCGGCCGCTGCTTTGTAATTGAAAAAAAAAAGAAAATGCAATACGCCAACATTTAGGGATAACAGCCCCCTTCCGTATGAGATTATGGCTCGTGTAATTAGAGGCCACATCTTCGCAAGCGGTGACCAGAAACAGCAATGAAATTCGTAAAATTCATCTCGTGCAAGTAATAGGTTCACAATTCGCACAGAATCTGCTGATTTTCTCTCTCTATTTCTCACGTTTCCTCTCTCTCCTCTCTCTCTCTCTCTGCCCGTTACAGAAAAAAATTGCGATTAGGATAAACGCCCCATTATCATCAATAAGGAGATGTTACGCAATTGTCTGTAAAAGTCTCTAAAGCCACCGTAATCTCGACGTTGTGACAGGCTGACACGTCTTTAGTGGGCAAAGCATCACCCCCCCATCCCCCACTCCCCCCCGTGTTAGACAACGGTCAGTGGAAGTGGATATTACAGAGCTGTCTCTGCAGTATCTTCAATTGCCCTTTCTTTTTTAATTTGAAATCCACACATTATAGACAGTGCTACGTTTTATAACACTTTCCTGGCATACGAAAAAAAACCACGTTCTTCGCATGGCAGTCAAAACGAACCCCCTAATTTAATGCGAATGTGTTTTTTTGTTTGTTTTTGGTACGTCTGTGTGTGTGTGTGTGCGCGCTGTTATCCGTGACCAGGGCGAGAGCATCAACTCGTCGCCCCCGCCTCGAAAAAACGGCTTCAATCACAATAGTCGCGGCCGAAACCCGGATTCGAACGTCGGTCCTCGACAAAGCCGGCTTCAGTGCTCTGAACCGCTGAGCCACCAGGCCGCTTCCGTCATCTCGCACGATCTCTGCGTTGTCACAATCCGCTTGGGCAGCTGCCCGCGAGCCGATTTCATCGCTCCATCTCCGCGGGGGATGTCCCCTCGGCTGCTTTACCTCGCTGGGGCTGCCGCTGCACCGTTGTAGTTGTCGCCTGCCGCCTGTGTAACAAAGATGACCTAAGGCTTGATGATGATGATGATGAAATTGAGGAAAAGGGGATACATGCCCCCACCCCCCGTCACAAATACAAAGATCCACCGTATAGCCTTAACGGACTGTTGGGGCAAGCGCTGTAAGCGATCACCTATGAAGGTTGGCACGGCACACGAGGGGGTAGGTGGCCAGCACCACGCCCGACCGCCTTTGTCTCCCCAGTGGCGATGTTTACTACACACCACCGCACCAGGTACTCATTTGAGGCCGAGTCGACCTAGTTCAGATAATCGTCACTGGTGTTGGCCGTGCGCGGGAATCATGTGCGGTAATCGAACTCAGGTCACCGAGTTCGTAGCGCAGCGCGCTAACCGCCGCGCCACCGCTCCCCACTACACACACGTGCACGCACACACACACCATTCCATAGACACCCCCCCCCCCGCAATCAAAATCTCCAACACCGCGTTCACATGCCCCCCCCTTCCCCCCTCCATACATCTCACGCGCGTGAGACCCGGGAGCGTTGTCGTCTAACGCACGGAGTCACCGACTCATCGATTCCAATTCCTCTGCGTTCTTATGAGGAGGAGACGCGCCACGGACCGCTCTGACACAATCTCTGACACAATCGAGCTGGCGTGGCCTTTGGGTTACGGAGGAAGAGGTGGGGAGGGTGGGGGGAAGTCTAGGTGGGTGGAGGGAGGGAGGGAAGGGGGGGGATGGGAGGCAGTGGGGAGGGGGGGTAGAGCCAACGCCGATATTCAACGGGGGAATTGAAGTATCTTGGCTAAGCAATAATGTCAACCCGTTCTGACAGCAGCGCCGCAAGCCAGAGGGATCCGTGCGACCCGGTGAGGGGTTGCCAACTTATCACATTCTCGGTCCGTCTCGAGCGCTATTACGGCACAACAACCGGCGACATTTATAGGCGCTCATACTGCACAGCGCCAGTGCGCTGGAACGCGAGCGCGTGGGTGTTGAATCCCGTTATTAAGGAAGGCACTGGAGCTATGCACTTTTAAATCTAGATTGATAAGTAATTTATTCAGAACTGCTCATTGTTGTTGTTGTTGTTTTAGTTTGTTGCCCTTCCCCCGCACCTCCGATTTAGCGCGGTTGGCTGCGTGCCGTGCGATAGACGTTCTGCTAAAGATGTATTCGTAATTAAAGCATTTACATTTTACCAGGTAAGGCCCACTGAGCCATGTAGCTCTTCGTCAGAAGCGACCTGGCCACAATTGATAAGCTCAACTCAGTGGCTTACCACTGAGTTGAGCTTGTACAGCAGGCAAATACTTTAAATACGTGATGTTGATGTTAAATGTGGAGGGAGAAACCGACAATCCACGTGACCACGGAGAGAGAGAGAGAGGGAGACACGCAAACTCCAAATATACTACAGCAGTAGTCGTCAGTGTCAGGATCAAAGCCACGACCTCCTGCATACCAGGCGATGGTGTTAACATCTCGCAACTGTGGGTATATATCCAGGGTGCTTCAAAGAAATGTGAACACTTCAGATAATTTGCAACAAACCCACAAGAAACGTGTCACCGGGGCGCTGGAGATCACCTGGAGAAGATTCCAAGCCACGTGTTGACAACGATGGCGAACAAGTGGAGACTCTTTGACTTTTTGAAGCTATTAGCATTACATTTGTTATCACGTTACGGTGCATTAACCGTTCTTTATCCATTAAAAACGAGAGTTACAATGTGAGTGTTAACATTTTTTGAAGCACCCTGTATATTCACATATATATCGAGGCTGGGTTATTTAAATGGCTCGTACAATTTGCTTCCCTGGGGAGTTGGCGCCTTCCTTTTTCACCAACCGGGTGCTGGCGGCTAACTGTGTCGGGTGGTGGAGGGTTACGACACATTTATAAATAACGCGATCTAACCCAAACAAACCTTTATTATGACTAATATTCGTCGCGAAAGCCTACGTGTTAAACTAACCACCACGTGCCTGCTGCGATCCAGCGCTGTGGAGGCAGCAGCTAGGGTTGGTGGATGACCACGCGAATGTTGTGAAACTCCCCGTTGGTGTCGAGGAGGAGACGCCGTACCCTGGCTCGCCAAGAGAAAGCAGTACAGCAAGTGGACTAATCGCCACTCGTTTGCATATGTACGGGGATAGGTCGACTCAAATGAGTACCTGGTGCGGTGTGTAAACATCGCCACTGGGGAGACAAAGGCGCTCGGGCGTGGTGATGGCCACCCACCCCCTCGTGTACCGTTCGGGCCTTCATAGGTGCTCGCTAACAGCACTTGCCCCTACAGTCTGTTACAGGATACACGGGGGATCTTTGTCTTTGTATGCACGTGCCCACGTGGGCGGTAGCGCAGCGGTTCGCGCGCTGCCCTACGAACCCCGGCGACCCGAGTTCGATTCCCGCTCAGTGCAAACGTCGGTGACGATTAAATTACCTGGTCTTGTGGGCCTCCCCTAGATCGACTCAGCCTCGAATGAGTACCTGGGGAGACAACGGCGGTCGGTCGTGGTGCTGGCCACCCTCCCCCCGTCGTGTGTCGTGCGGGCCTTCATTGCCAGATAACAACACTTGCCCCAACAGTCGTTCTTCTTCTGTCTTGATTCCCCCCCCCCCACTCCCGTGCCTATATAAAGCCACAACAGCAGATCATTTTCTCACCTGATGACGGACGCTTGTGTTGCGACCGAAACGTCGTGTTTCTTTTATTATTATTTTTATATCTACGTGACTTTACCGAAAGAACCAGAGAGTAAGTCTTCTTCTTGTTGTACGGCTGCTGATGTAGATGCAGAGAAACGACTTACAATTTTCACATTCTCGTGTCGTGAGCAGCGGAGTGTATCATCTTCGTCGTCGTCGTCGCTGCGATGTCTCCTCCTTCGTATGTGTGGATCGGGGCATTGCGTCGCTAAGCGTTGCTACCGTCTGTTCAGGATGACCCACAGTCGCACCAATACTACTCGAGAGTTGTTTTTGTCGTTTCATTTTCCATTTGCCCATCAGGTATCCGCATCTGCTGCGGTGGGTTGTGCTTGACGCGCGATCTCGGGTGGAGCGCGAGCCGCTGAGTCTGATGAGGCTACGCGGGGGTTATTCGCCTCTGTCTGTCTGCGCGCGTGTGTGTGTCCGCTCGTGTGTGTGTCCGCGCGTGTGTGTCCGCGTGCGCGTGTGTGTGTGTATCCGCGCGTGCGTGTGTGTGTGTCCGCTCGTGTGTGTGTCCGCGCGTGTGTGTCCGCGCGTGTGTCCGCGTGCGCGTCCGCGTGTGTGTGTGTATCCGCGCGTGCGTGTGTCCGCGCGTGCGTGTGTGTGCGTCCGCGTGTGTGTGTGTGTATCCGCGTGTGTGTCTGTATATCCGTGCGTGTGTGTGTCCGCGCGTGTGTGTGTGTATCCGCGCGTGTGTGTGTCCGCGCGTGCGTGTGTGCGCGTCCGCGTGTGTGTGTGTCCGCGCGTGCGTGTGTGTGCGTCCGCGCGTGCGTGTGTGTGCATCCGCACGTGTGTGTGTATCCGCGCGTGTGTGTGTCCGCGCGTGCGCGTGTGTGCGTCCACGTGTGTGTATCCGCGCGTGTGTGTGCCCGCGCGTGCGTGTGTGTGTATCCGCGCGTGTGTGTGTGTGTCCGCGCGCGTGCAGGCGCCTCGCCCCTATGGACAGGCGCAGAGCCCGGCCATGGCGTGCTCGTGGAAGGTGGTCGTCTTCGTGGTGTGCGCCTCTCTCGGCATCCAGTACACGGCCATCAAAACCATCCGCACCTACGGCTTCTACATGTGCGACGTGTCCGACGCGCCTCCCCACTGCTTCTTCACCTTCGGCAGGATGCCGCGTCTCTCCGGGTGCGCCGCGCAGGCAGCGGCATCGGCGGCCGCGGCAGCCAAAGGGACCGCCGGTGGCGGTGCCGGTGCCACCGCCGGCACCGGAGGAACGGGAGAGGATTCCCGAGCAAGGCCCTCTGAGTTGGCGGCCGCGGCGAATGTGGCGAAGATCGTGGAGACGGCTGCGACGGCGACGGCGGCTCCGAAGCGCAAGCACATCCTCATCTTCGCCACGACGCGCAGCGGCTCCTCGTTCATGGGCCAGCTGTTCAACCAGAACCCGGAGGTGTTCTATCTGTTCGAGCCGCTCTACCACGTGCAGGCTACCTTCGTAGACACGGGGCTGCGCTTCCGCCACGCGGTGGACAGGCGCGCGCTGCTCGGCGCCTACCGCGACCTGCTGCGTAACCTCTTCGACTGCGACCTCTACTTCCTGGAGAACTACATCAGGCCCGCGCCGCGGGACCACGAGACAGCGCGCCTCTTCCGACGGGGAGCGAGCAACGCGCTCTGCAGCCCGCCCGTGTGCGGCGACACCCCGACGGCGTCGTCGTCCTCGTCGGCTTCGTCAGCATCATCATCATCATCGGCGGCGGTGTCATCATTACCATCATCATCATTAATGTCATCGTCGTCGTCTTCTTCATCATCATCATCGTCATCCTTCTTCTCGCCGCCCTCCTCCGCGTCATCTTCATCGTCCTCGGAGCCGGAGGAGCAGCGCTGCCTGCGTGCCTGCGGGCCGCTCAACGTGACGCTGGCGACGCGCGCCTGCCACGCGCGTCCGCACGTGGCCATCAAGACGGTGCGCATCCCCGAGGTGCGCGACCTGCGCCTCATGGCCGACGACCCGCGCCTCGACCTCAAGATCGTCCACCTCGTGCGCGACCCTCGCGCCGTGCTCGCGTCGCGCATGCTCACCTTCACCGAGACCTTCAAGGCGTGGAAGATCTGGAACGCCACGGGCCGCATGCCCTACCGACTCGACGCGGGACAGATCACGGCCACGTGCGACGACTTCGTGCGCTCGGCGCGCACAGGGATGTCGAGGCCGCGTTGGCTGCGCGGCCGCTACCTCCTCGTCCGATACGAGGACCTGGCGCGCGATCCGCTGGGCAAGGCGGCGGACATTTATCGCTTCGCCGGCATCCCCATGGGCAAGGCGGTGACGGGCTGGGTGCTGAGCAACACGCGCGGCGACAACCAGCTGGGCCGCTACAAGTACTCGACGAGTCGCGACTCGGCGGCCGCCGCCGAGGGATGGCGGCTCAGCCTCAGCTACGACATCGCCCGCTACGTGCAGGAGGCGTGCAACGACACCCTGGCGCAGCTGGGGTACAGGGCCGTGGAGTCGGCCGACGAGTTGAGGAACCTGTCCCTAAGCCTGGTGGAGGAGAGGGCGTTCGTGCCCTTCCTGTGAGTGAGCCGGAGAGAGATGAGAGCAGAGAGAGAAAGAGAGAGAGAGAGACACGGTCCGTGTGTGCTGTATAAGCGGAGGAGTCAGATATTGGTTATGGTGGTGATGATGGTGATGATGATGGTGGTGATGGTGGTGGTGATGATGGTGGTGGTGATGGTAATGGTGGTGGTGATGGTGGTGATGGTGATGTGGTGGACATGATGATGATGGCGGTAGGCATGATGGTGATGATGGTGGTGGTGATGATGGTGGTGATAATGATAGTTACTCACTTTATCGATGAGGATGATAGTGATGGCGATGATGACGATTGTGGTGATGACGATGGTGGTGATGCTGATAATGATAGTGCTGGCAATGATGATAGTGCTGCCGATGACGACGATGGTGATGATGGCGATGCCCCTACTGGCACAGACACAATTCCCGCTTTGCAGGCGAGGTACTGATTCACATTCATGCCGCACAGGGACAGCTGCCACTGGGCGGGGGGGGGGGGGCTCCGAATGCGAAGAGATGTAAGTTACTTATCGCGTGTTAAACGCCTTTGAGAAGCCACGGCGGTTCCATGAAACAAACAAACAAAGATAATTAATTTACGAAATGTAATTCGCCACTGGCATCGACTGCACAATAGAGATGGGACTGGCAGAAGGACGACGCCGCGCGTCGCTACGCTGGGATGAGCGTTGGACGCTCGCACATGTTGGCGGGTCTGACTCGGTGGTGGAAATTCCACGCTCCAATGCCGAGGGCCAGGCCATCGGCGAGCCACCCACTGTCGACTGTCTACAAACTGGTTACTCACTTTATCGACCCTCGGTGTTTGACGATGGGTTGATTCGACCACCCACTGCGACTGTCTGGTTACTCACTTTATCGACCCTCGGTGGATGATGATGATAGACTGACTCGACCCACCGTCTGCGACTGTCTACAAACTGGTTACTAACTTTATCGACCCTCGGTGGATGATGATGATGACAATGATGGTAATGATGGGCTGACTCGACTCACCCACCATCATCATCGCACGTGCGATCTCCTGACTGAGTCGCGCTGCGATCACTGCAACGCCCCCCCCCCCCCCCAGCTGACTGCGTTGCCAGCCTTCGCGTCGTTCTTGTAAGGCGGACATCGTCGTAATCGTTGGCTAACATCGGCTGCTTGTACCCTTCGTGCGCATGGGCTTTCTCCCGACACTCTGCACTTCTCCTCCCCACGTGCAAAAATGACGGAACAAACAGTCGCCAACGTCGTTAAACACAACAACTAAATTAAAGGAACTTGCCCCTCCCCCCCCCCCCCAAAAAACGTCTCCGTCGCGGGACCCTCGCGAACGAGAGAGAGAAAGTCTCGAGACTCGGTGGGGAATTTCCCGAGTCGGTGAAGAGTTGAATCGAATGAAACACGACGAGCAGCAGCAGCAGCAGCAGGAACAGCAGGAGGTACAGCAGCAGGAGGTGGCAGCAGGTACAGCGGAGTGGCGTAGCTATCGAGTGTGCAGGCGGTGCAATTGCGTCGGAGTCGAGGAAGGGCCCCGGACGCAAGGCGACGAAGAGGGGTGGGGGGCTTGGACATGGGGGGGGGGGGGCGGCGTGTGAACATTTGCACCAGGACCAATCGCAACCACGCTACTGACAACAACAACGACAATGATGGTGATGACGGTGATGGTGGTGTAGCGGGTCATCGCTCAGCTGCCCTACGAAACGCGGCCACCCGAGTTCGATTCCCGCTCACGGCCAACACCGGTGACGATTATTTGAACCGGTCCTGGGCCGCCTCCTCCTCCACCCCGTACGTCGACTCTGGCTCGGCGAGTACCTGGTGCGGTGTGTAAACATCGTCACTGGGGAGACAAAGGCGGTCGGGCGTGGTGCTGACCACCCATCCCCTAGTGTGTCGTGTCCGCCTTCATAGCTGCTGCCACGCGCTAATAGCACTTGCCCCAACAGTCTGTTAAAGCTATATGGGGGATCTTTGTCTTTGGTGGTGATGATGATGATGAAACTGTGCATGTGGACGGCGTGTCGAATGTACAGATATCAGGAGAGGGATCAACGCGTGCGCTTTATCACGCGATTACTCCAGACGACCATCAAACATATATACTGGCACGCACACTGACACCCACAGACACACACGTACTGACACACATTCACACACACGCAGATCCAATGACGCACACACATACGCATGCATACATACAAAACACACGCACAGATACACACCAACAAACACACACCATCACCAACTCGACAACCGACATTCGTTACTCAGTGGCGGTGATGTCACGACGGCGCTCGTGCCAGGATAAGTGCACCTTTAGGCCATCACGTGAAGTGTGGAAGGCTCACTGCTGTCAAGGAAGTCACAACACACACACTCAGACCCACACACACACACTCAGCCACACACACACTCAGACCCACACACACACACTCAGCCCCACACACACACTCAGACCCACACACACACTCAGACCCACACACACACTCAGACCCACACACTCAGCCCCACACACACACTCAGACCCACACACACACTCAGACCCACACACACACTCAGACCCACACACACACTCAGACCCACACACTCAGCCCCACACACACACTCAGACCCACACACACACTCAGCCCCACACACACACTCAGCCCCACACACACAGCCCCACACACACACTCAGACCCACACACACACTCAGACCCGCACACACACTCAGACCCACACACTCAGCCCCACACACACACTCAGACCCACACACACACTCAGCCCCACACACACACTCAGCCCCACACACACACTCAGCCCCGCACACACAGCCCCACACACACACTCAGACCCACACACACACTCAGCCCCACACACACACTCAGCCCCACACACACACACACTCAGACCCACACACACACTCAGACCCACACACACACTCAGACCCACACACTCAGCCCCACACACACAGCCCCACACACACAGCCCCACACACACACTCAGACCCACACACACACTCAGACCCACACACACACTCAGGCACACACACACACACTCAGCCCCGCACACACAGCCCCACACACACACTCAGACCCACACACACACTCAGCCCCACACACACACTCAGACCCACACACACACTCAGACCCACACACACACTCAGCCCCGCACACACAGCCCCACACACACACTCAGACCCACACACACACTCAGCCCCACACACACACTCAGACCCACACACACACTCAGCCCCACACACACACTCAGCCCCACACACACACTCAGACCCACACACACAGCCCCACACACACACTCAGCCCCACACACACACTCAGACCCACACACACACTCAGCCCCACACACACACTCAGCCCCACACACACACTCAGCCACACACACACACTCAGCCCCACACACACACTCAGCCACACACACACACTCAGACCCACACACACACTCAGCCCCACACACACACTCAGACCCACACACACACTCAGACCCACACACACACTCAGCCCCACACACACACTCAGCCACACACACACACTCAGCCACACACACACACTCAGACCCACACACACACTCAGCCCCGCACACACAGCCCCACACACACACTCAGACCCACACACACACTCAGCCAATCAAAGTCGCACCCACCCCTCCCCACACACACAAAGCAACCTCAAGTTGTCCCGATTGCAACTCAAGAGGCAGACCAACAAAACAACATCGTCAACAACAACAACAACTCTGCGTAGCATGCTGCATCGCACAAACACCGCGGGGATCTGCTGAGAGGGGCCACTCATCGAGGCCTCTGACTCCGGTTGCGATAGAAGCCGAGCCAGTGGGGGGGGGGGGTTAGACGGCGGCTCGAATGGCTTCCCCTGATTGCCTTCTATTGGGTTGTGCCATTGGAGAGGTGCACACAGAGAGCGAGAGAGGGGGGCAGGGGGGAGGGGGTTTGGTGGGGGGGGGGATATAATTTTATTTATTTATTTATTCCCGCGCTCGCAACAAACTCCGGGCAGTGCACCGCGTGCACTGCAAGGCGGATGGTGTGGGGGCGGGGCGAGTGGGGGGGGGGCATTTTTTTTGGGGGGGTGGTGGGCTGTGGATTAGTAAAGATGTTCGCACACCCCCCCCCCCCCCCACCGTGACCCCCCCCCCCACACACTCCCACCGCGGCCTCCTCTCGCCCGCAATTATTCGGGCAAGAGCAGTGGACGCGTTCCGCAAAAGAACGCCGCTCGGGCGAAGCGTGCGGGGGGTGGGAGGGGGGATGAAGAGACGGCTTGCTCCATCGCCAAAGAGGACAAGGGATGGAGACGTTGCGAGGGGCATCGCGAGACAGACGCCCCCCCCCCCCGTCCCTCCACCGCCGCCACCCCCCCCCCAACCTCGGTGACGCCGTCGGTAGCCCTCGACGGGCGCCTTTCTCGGAAAGGTCACGGAGAGTCGTCGGATCGCGCGATCGTACGGAGCGCGGCGCTTTCAATTTGTGCGTTCCGTGCAGGGAGAGGGGGCGGTGCGTGGGTGCGATTCGAGGATTGACGCGGGCTTCGTCGCTTCGAAGTTTGTTTTAGCGAGCCGCGAGCCACGTCGTCTTCAGCCCACAAGCTTCTTTGCGTTTCGTTAGCCGACGCGACGTCTGTCATCTGACAGCTGACTTGCAACTTCATTGTCAGAGGGGGGGTGGGGGGGGGTATATATAAAGAAGGAACTGCGTTGGCAGTTGTACACAAAGCACAAATTAAAGAAGAAAAATATATATTAACCACATTTGTCATTCATTCTGCCTTAGTGACAGTGAGTGAGAGCGGCGGTGCAGCGGTTAGCGCGTTGCGCTATAAATCCGCCTAACGCGAAGGATTTACCGCCCCTCCCCCCCACTCGCTAACCCGCATTTGACCAACGTGGTGAAGTATGGTCAAACAAGCCCTACAATCGACTTCAGCTCGGAGAGGTCATCATGTAGCAGTGGATTGACAAAATGTCCACCTTTGCACGCACTGCGCATCACGACATTACAACAGAAGAGAGAAGAAAACACGCATCGTCAGCTGATCCTTTTAGACGGTGAACCAACCTGTTGTTCTCTGGTCTGCTCTGAGGAAGGCCCATTGCTCGAAACGTCAACCAGTGACACACGAGTAAACATCGGGGCAGCGTTGACGTTTATATTTTCTAACCGGGAAGATCACAGACGTGGCTCTGGGCCACGTGGGCGAATAATGTCACGTGGGTTACACAACGGGCCCAACTCGGCCTCTCCAAAAAAAAAAAAACACGTGTCCGTCGCCCTATTTGGACACGTGTGTTATTGAGGCATCTCGTTTATAAACAGAACAACAACAACACTTTCGGCCTGGTTTCGACTTCATGGGTTCCCATCAGCAGTGCCAGGTCTGCAGTTGGAGAGAATTCGGATAGAACGGGGGGGGGGGCAGCGGGAGTAGGAGGTGGAAATGGGGGGTGGGCTAGACGGCGGGGCATCGTAGAGTACAACAATAATGCATTTTGGCTGCACTGATGTATGGTGAGCGTTAATAATCAAGGGCTGAACGCTGCTTAGATCGCTTTGGCTATTGGCTCGCCTCTCGAATCCACCATCGCCACCCCTCCCCCTCACGTCCCACCACCCCCCTCACCACCACGTCAAGATTCTGAACGCAGACCACCCACTGTCAAAATAATTCGTGGCCGCTTCGATTCAAGTTCAGAATTAAGGTAACATTGGAAAATATAATCAGCGGCGGAACAAAGCAAACGGATAGCAAAAGAGTGTCACGTGATTAGACGCGCACCCAGATGGGTGAGAAGCTGAGCTTAAATCGAGGTTTCAGCCACCCAGCCGCGATTAAACAGTCCCCACAAGTGTAGCGCGTTAATGGCCTCATCCCGGTCACCAATGACTGCACTCACTCACACTCACACGCGCGCGCGCACGCACGCACAAATCCATCACGTTAAATTATGAGGTTTCCACTTCATTTGGGAAAATTCCACTTCTGAGAAATACCGATTTTAGTTTTGACTGCCATGCCAAAACATTTGTGCGTGTGTGTGTTTCTGTAGCAGGAAGGTGTGAGCAAGTTCAGCACTTTATTTAATGCGAGCTTTATATATTCAAAGCTTAGATATAAACAAGGTCAATTGAAGGGATCTCATATAGTAGCTCTATGGTATCCGCTTCCGCTGCCTTTTCGCTGGTCTGCGACAGATGAGATCCGAGGGGTGGCCGCGTCTCGTGATGATGACTCCGACAGCACGATCGGGATAGCATTGGGACGAGGCAGCAACGAGACCC